CAGAAAATAATGTCTCCGGTGTATATAGAGATTAAGACCTTCTATGGCTGAGAAAGTCGTCTATATGTCAGAGTCCATCAGACTCTTTCCAGAGTTCAGGAGTGATTCTCTCCTGGTCTTAATGCTCATAGAGTGAGAAAGTGAGTTTTTAACTGCTTTATCTTTGACGGAGAGGGCTGTCAAGAATTTTCTTGAGTTGTCCCCTTAAAGAGAGTCTTGGCTTGGAAGAAATGATTAAACCAAGTTGTTGGTTGTTAGACTCATGTTCATTCTGTTCCTCAGAAATATTATATATAGGTTTATTCTTACGATTTCTGTCACATGGTTTTTTGGTTTCTCTCTTGTTTTATCCAGTCCAGCCTAACGCCTTTTGGAGGTGACTGGTGCTTTTTGAATGGGTAAGGAAGTTGGGGCTTCGGTTTATTCGGTTTATCTTGTCTGGTGTTTCGTAACGTAATTTCTCTTGTCAAAATATCCCCCTTCCGTCTGAAAGTTCTCAGTTATCCTAGTGAACATAAAGGCGAAAATCCTGCTTCGGCTTGGGGGTTATTCATCTGGTAATCTCTAGTTCCTTTTTTAGGAAATTCTTGTTAGGTTGGAGAAATAAGGTGGGTAGCTAAATATACAATAGGACGGGAGATCTGTAACCTCTTTTTGTTTTTGGGTTAAAGAGAACTAAAGATACGTTTTAGACAGTCTTCATTAATGGATAAACACTTATTCATTCCATTAGTTAAGCTTTTTTTAAAGAAAACATAAAAGCAACAAGATTGTTCCTCTGAAAATCTCTCAATACGATGATTTCCTAAAGAAGGATTTCTTTTAAGTAATTATAGAGTGAGAATGAGTCCTGAAAACATGAATTGTATAGTGGCATACTGTTTTGCCGATTTCCTGTTATTGGAGTTTTGAATAGTTAGAAATAATGATCCGGAAGTTGCTTCCCTCTTGAGGGCATCCTCTGCCCTTCCCGGTTCTCTGTTTCAGAGAGGATAGGGCTTTAATATTAAACAGGGCTTGATCATCGTATGGTCAAGTTTTTGTTATAAGCGGGTCCATAAATTACAGACTTTATGGGATTCTATCAATTCCTGATAAATCACCATCATTAGATTTAGATTTTCTGGAATTTAGTCTTCCATTTGACCCTCCTGTTTTTAGATATTTAACTGCAATCATCCGGAGGGAAATTCTCCGTTAGTTGTCTCCTTGGATGCTCTCTCCCTTGAGGGTGCAGCAGGTTGGACAAGATTGTTAAAACATTGTGTTTGACAGGTCCTTTAGACATCACCTATAATGAGGTTATTGATCTGTTATACCCAGAGACTCCTTTTTTTAAAGAAACATCGAAATATAAGGTAGACCTGATCCAGAGTAAGAACAAAATAAGTAATTTTGAGAGGCTGGTGATTACTCCTTTAAGAGAGTTTTAGTTCATATATTCCTCTAGTAGAAACATATAAGAAGCGACAACGAGAATTTTAACTAAGCAGGAGCGAAAAAGGAATCTCCTCTATTTAAGGCCAGGGGAGGTTTCTCCTTGTAGTTCATGGGTTCCAGAATGTTTGGTTGTTTTTTTTCATACTCAGTTGAGCATTCATGAGTTAGAGCAGAATTGGATTCAGTGAAAAAACCCATAGTATTTTAATCTAATTCCTTGGGGAGACATAATTATACCTACAAGATGGTTATTACTTCTTCGACGAGGGTCTTATATATATAACTTAGGTTGCATTGGTTATCTTAGGATGAACTGCCTTAAGATACCTTGAAGCGCTTTAAATCACTCCCAAAGACATTGTAGCAGTCCTCAAACTCTTTAAATAGGTAGTAAAGAATATTTCTTAAAGAATTTCGACAAAGACAAAATTCTCAACTAAAACAGAAGCAGTTACATAAATAAATTAAGACATTATAGAATATATTTTTAGCCAATATTAAGAAAAGAAAAATAAAGAAAGGACATCATAGAAACTGTAGAAAATTCTTTTCTTTGCTCACACTCCACGCTTCCTGAGAG